ACTTCTTGAATTCTTTAAAATATATGAGATGGCTGAATTAAAAATAATACTGAAGCTGGGAGGAGGAAAGGAAAAAAATGATACTCTCTGATGGGGGCTTCAGTGTATGTGGATGTAACACAACTACAACATGAAGGGAGAAGGCAAAGGGATCTACACGTGGTAAGGTTTCTACACTCCACTTGAGGTGATAAAATATTACTTCTAAGTAGACTGTGAAAAGTTAAGTATATTATAGTCCTTAGAACAACCACTGTGTGTGCACGCACACGTGTGTGTGTGTCTGTGGAGAGAGTGCAATGGAGAGTCAGGAGGAAAAAAGGGCAGGAAAGAAGGAGAAATGAAGAACAGAAAACAACATAATGGTGGACCTAAATCTAAACATTTCAATAGTTGTATTAACATAAACGGTCTCCTCATGCCAACTAAAAGATTATCAGTTTGGATTTCTAAAAACAACCTAATTCTACGTTGTCTTTAAGACACTCACTTTAAATATAATGGGGTGTACATAAGTTATAGTAAAAGGTGACAACTCATTCTATGAGGGCAGTATTACCCTGACACCAAACCTAGACAAAGGCATTACAAGAAAATTACAGACCAGTATCTCTTATGAATATACATACAAAAATCTTCAACAAAATACTAGCAAACATAGCCCAGCAACAACAGAAAAATGAATATATTCCATAAGCGATAGAATTTATGCTAGACATGGAGTCGGGGACCGGACCACCCTCCCACAACCAGGCACAACATGCTAGCACCTTGGAGCCTACCCAGGGACCCAGGGCATGAAGAAGGGGACCGGACCTCTCTCCCACAACCAGGCATACCAAGCCAGCACCTTGGGTCCCACCCAGTGACTCGAGGCATGGAGCCAGGAACCAGATCCTCCTCCCACAACCAGGCACACCAAGCCAGTGCCTCGGGGCCTGCCCACGGACTCGAGGCACGGAGAAGGGGATCAGACCACCCTCCCACAATCAGGCACACCATGCCAGCACCTCGGAGCCCATCCAGGGACCCAGGGCATGGAGAAGAGGACCGGACCTCTCTTCCACAGCCAGGCACACCACACCCACACCTCAGGGCCTGCCCAGGGACCCGAGGCACAGAGAAGAGGACCAGACTTCTCTCCCACAACCAGGCACACTGCGCCAGCACCTTGGGGCCCACCCAGGGACCGGAGGCATGGAGAAGGGGTCTGGACCTCTCTCCCACAACCAGGCACACCACGCCAGCGCCTCGGAGCCCACCAAGGGACCTGAGGCATGGAGAAGGGGACTGGACTCTCCTCCCATAACCAGGCACACCAAGCCAGTGCTTTGGGTCCCACCCAGTGACCCGAGGCATGGAGCCAGTAACCGGACCCTCCTCCCACAACAAGGCACACCATGTCAGCACCTCAGGGACCACCTGGGGACCCAAGGCAAGAAGGGAACCAGACCTCTCTCCCACAACCAGGCACACTGCACCAGCGCCTTGGAGCCCACCTGGGGACCCAAGGCATGGAGAAGGGGACTGGACCTCTCTTCCACAACCAGGCACACCAAGCCAGTGCCTCAGGTCCCACCCAGTGACCAGAGGTATGGAGCCAGGGACCGGACCCTCCTCCCACACCAGGCACAAAACGCCAGCACCTTGGGGCTCATCTGGGTACCCAAGGCATGGAGAAGAGGACCAGACTGCCCTCCCCTTAACCAGGCACACCGTGCCAGCACCTTGGGGCCCGAGGCACGGAGAAGGGGACCAAACACACCAACAACCAGGCATACCGCCAGTGCCAAGGAGCATACCAAAAACAGCACCTCCACGTGGGTGGCCCACCACAGCCACCACAATAACCATGGACGCCACAACCACCACGCAGATGGTCCACCAACCACTGGAGTTCATTCACACAAGAGTCACCAGCAGAGACAAAGAAAAGAAGAGGATGTCTCTCTCCACAAAGCCCATTTTAGAGTGACAGAAGAAGCATCTGCTCTATGATAATATTGGGGGACCTGATCACACCTCTCAGTATTGGACAGATCATCTAGGCAACAAATTAACAAGTAACCATTATTCTTTCAGAAGGAGAGAAGAAATCTAGGGCAATTAAAGGGGGGAGGGGGAGGGAATGGGGGAAGGGGAGAGGTTGGACAAGGGGCATAAAGAATAATTATGATTTGTAACAATATATATGCTAGTAATATTGATTTAATCAACATATCTCAATGTTCACCCCCCAAAATATGTATAATCGATTTTGATTCAATAAATAAAATAAATTAAAAAAAAAAAAAAAGACTTTATGCCAGGAATGCAGTGTTGTTTTAACGTCTGAGTCAATTAACATAATACACCCACCAACAGAGTATTTTGTCCTTAAAAAAACACGGTCATCTCAATAGATGCAGAAAATACATTTTACAAAATCCAGCACCCCTCATGATAAAAGCACTCAGCAAACTAGGAATAGAAGGGAACCTCCTCAACCTAATAAGGGGCTTCTACCACAGCTAAGGACATACTTAACAGTGAAAGGCTGAGATGAGGAAAACGACAAGGCATGCCCCACTTCTACTCAACACTGCACTGAAGTTGAGGTTTTAGCCAGAGCAATTAGGCAAGAAAAAGAAATAAAATGCATCCAGACTGGAAAGGAAGAAATAAAACTATTTCTCTTCACAGATGGCATCACCTTGTCCAAGAAAATCCTAAGGAGAAATAATAAAAAATTTTAAAAAGAAGAAAATCTGAAGGAATCCACCAAGACTATCAGAACTAATAAATGAGAGTTCAGCAAGGTTTGAGGACCAAATGTATTTCTATATACTAGCAATGAATAATCTGAAAATGAAATTAAAACAATTCTATTTAATATAACATCAAAAAAATAAAATATTTTGGAATAAATTTAAATGAAGTATGAAACTTACGCTCTAAAGACTATAAGCCATTGTTGAAAGAAACTAAAGGAGATCTAAATAAATGGAAAGATACTCCACGTTTATGGATCGGAAGACAATATTGTTAAGTAAAATTGGTAGTACTCCCCAGACTGATCTACAGAGTCAATGCAATCTCTATCAAAGTCCCTTTTTTGGGGCCGGCCCGGTGGCGCACTGCTACAGTGCGCCGCTTGGGAGCGCGGTGGCGCTCCCGCCGAGGGTTCGGATCCCACATACAGACCGGCCGCTCACTGGCTGAGCGAGGTGCGGGGGCAACACCGAGGGTTGCGATCCCGTTGCCGGTCCTGGTCCAGTAGGGGCGCGACACTGAGAGTTGCGATCCGTTGCCGGACATGAAAAAAGACAAAAAGGGATAAAAAAGTCCCTTCTTTGCATAAATTGCAAGGTGAACCTAAAATTCATATGGAAAATCAAGGGACCCAGAATAGCCAAAAAAATTTCAAAAAGGAACAAAGTTGGAGGACTCACACTTCCCAATTTCCAAAAATTACAGTAATCAAGACAGCGTTGTACTGCCATAAAGTAGACACATAGATCAATGGAGTAGAATTGACAGTCCAGGAAAAAAATTCTCACATTTTGGTTAATTGATTTTTGACAAGGGTGCCAAAAGAATTCAATGGAGAAAGAATAGTTAACAAATGGTGCTAGGACAACTGGATCTCTACATGCAAAACAGTGAAGTTGGACCCCTATCTGCTCACACCTATATAAAAATTAATTCAAGATGTATCGATAACAAATGTAAAAGCAAAAACTATAAAACTTTTAGAAGAAAACTTGGGGGTAAACGTTCACCATGGAAATGATTTCTTAAGTATGACACCAAAAGCACAAGCGACTGAAGAAAAAAACAAATTGGACTTTATCGAAATTAAAAACTTTTGAGCTTATAAGACACCATTAAGAAAGTAAAGACAACCCACAGAATGGAAGAAAATATTTGCAAGTCATGTATCTGATGAGTCTAGTATGCAGAATACATAAAGAACTCTTATAACTCAACAGTAAAAAGACAAATAACCCAGTTCAAAAATGGACAAAGGACCTGAACAGACAATTCTCCTAAGAAGAAATAGTCAATTAGCACGTGAAAAGATGCTTAACATTAATAGTTATTAGGGAAATGAAAATCATCCACAAAGAAATACCATGTTACCTCCACTAGGACTGCTATAATTAAAAAGACAGACTACAACAAGTATTGGTAAGGATGTGAAGAAATTGGAAGCTTCATACATTGCTCGTGGGAATATAAAATGATGCAGCTGTTTTGGAAAAGTCTGGCAGTTCCTCAAAAAGTTAAATATAGAGGTTACCAAATGACCCAGCAATTCCACTCCCAAAAGAAATTAAAACACATCCACAGTAGCATTATGACCAAAAAGTGAAAACAACCCAAATGTCCATCAACTGATGAATTGATAAATAAAATATGGTATCTCCATACAATGTATTATTAATCAGGCATTAATTTAGGCTACTGGGAAACTGTTTAACTCACCTGGGTGGCTTGTTGCTGACGGACTGCAAAATGACACAGGCCTCTGGACAACAATTTGGCTCTTTCTTATAAACTTATACTTAACATTTGACCCAATAATCCTACACCTTGCTATTTATCCAAGAAATGAAAATTCGTGTCTACACAAAAGCCTGTACATGTATGTCTAGAGCAGCCCTGTGCATAATCACCAAACCCTGGAAACAACCCAAACATTCTCCTGTAGCTGAACGGATAAGCTGGAGTGGCCTTGGCCTGGAGTGCTGCACAGCAACAAAGAGGAACAGACTGCGGACATGCTCAACCACTGCACAAAGCTCAGAGCATTACAGAGGAAGAGAGGCTGGTCAAAAGGTTCCATATGGTTTGGTTCCACATATGTGATATTCCAGAGAAGGCAAAACCACAGGGACAGAGAACAGAGGAGCAGGTCAGGGCTGGGGAACATGTGAGCACAACAGGACACTGGGGGGGATGTGTCTGGGGCAGGACCTCCTGCATCCTGACAGTGGTGGCTAAGAGGAATGAGTCGATTTTACTGAATGGCACTTTATTTTTCTGCATGGCATTTAAAAAATACTGTTTAAGTGGTGACAATTCTGGGAAGTCCTCACCTGATGGGTGACTTCTGAGTCAAGACCTGATGGGGGAGGGGAATGTGGGGGGAGTCACTCCAGGTGGCCGAGCTGGTGAGGGTGAGGCCTTACAGCCGGCACATTCCTGGGCGTGTGACCCGCATGTCCAGCCCTTGGAGCCGGGCATGTGGGGCCTGGGGCGCATAAAGTGGGAAAGCAGTGAGCCAGAAGGGCTTGGACCAGCGGGCAGAGGCAGAGTGCAGATGCGGCTGGCAGGGACTGGGTTTGGAACTGCTGGAGGGCTCTGAGCAAGAAGGCAGGAGGTGCCCTGTGTTTAAGAATGTGCTGAGAGTGGGCCTTCAAGGCAGAAGCAGGACGCCAGACTGGGGGCTGCAGTCCTGAGGCCCCGGCACCCAAAGTCCTCTTCCTCACAGCCCCTCCCCGGATGCCAGTGGCACACCCTTACACCCCAAGTGGACTCCTCACAGGCACGAAACACAGCATCCACCTTATGGCTCAAATGCAGGGCACTTCTTAGTGGGGGTGGAGGGAGCCTGCAGGAGTCACAGTAGCTACAACTCGACTGAACAGACATGCATCAGGCAGGGCCACTCACGACCACAGGGTCTGCCACAGCTCCGTGAAGTGGGCACCACTCAGATCCTGTCCAAGACAGGACCCAGAGGCATGGGAAGGCTGAGAGCTAACTCAGGATGACACAGCTGAAGGCCCCTGCCTCGCCAATGCCCTGCAGCATGCTGGTGAGGACATGCTGGCTCAGGAGGGGTGACAACGTGAGGTGGCAGAACCTCTGCCTGGAAATGTTCAGTGGACAAGGGTCTGGGGCAGCCTCTCATTTCCTAAGAGTGGAAGTGGGGGCCGGCGGGAAGGGTCAGGCGTTTCTCTGCTCTGGGGGAAGGTACTCGAGGCCCAGGAGTTTGAAGATGTCTTCCTCTGAAGTCACGTGGAAGAACACCTTCTGCAAGAGGAACGGGGGCTTCAGTGGATGGTGAGTGGCTGCTGACTGTGCTGGGCAGGGGACCCGCAGTGGCTGTGCTGGTGCTGGTGGTATAGGACAAGGCCCTATGGGGAGAGGCCCATGCCCAAGGCCACCGTGCCATGATGGGTTGCCGAGGTGGATGTACTCTTGAAGGCCAGGATGGGGGTGTTGAGGCCCAGATTCAGGCCCTGTGGGTTCCAGGCTGGAGGGGTGTGGGGCCGTTTCAGATTGTGGGCCAGGGAGTAGGCTGTGGAGGTGCTTCCTGCCCCAGTCCCCGGCGACATACCTGCTCAGGGTCAAACAGCCCGTGGCTGTTCAGCCACAGCCCCTTCTCCTTCCGGCTGAAGCGGCGCAGCTCCCGCTCAAAAAGCTGGGGGGAAGCAGCTGTCCTCAGCAGGGCTGGCCCAGGCCCAGCCCACACACCCAGCAGCACGCACCCTACCTTGGAGCCAGTCCAGCCAAGCAGAGCAAAGGGGAACTGGCTGATGGGCACAACCACCAGGTCCACCCTCACAGCCTTCCAGGCTGGGCAGGGCCTAGGGGGATCTCCCACAGTAGTCTCCGGGGGTTGAGGCAGGCGGAAAATGCAGAAACTCCTCTCAAAGGCATCCATGGTGTGGCTGTGCCGGGCCCGCTTGGCAGGGGACCCACAGTGGCTGTGCTGGTGCTGGTGGTATAGGACAAGGCCCTATGGCGAGAGGCAAGCATGGGCGGGACCACCATGGTGCGGAGAGCAGGAGGCTGGGCGCGATGGCGCAGTCTGCAGCCACTCACCTGGCTCTGAAGGCAGCACATCACGCTGGGCAGCAGTCCTGCCTCCCGGCCGTCCTCGGGGTGGGTGATGAGGAAGTCCACGTCGTGGCCCTGCGACTTCCCCCTGAGGGGACCAGTTTGACTCTCTGGCCCCAAGTCAAGGGCATGTCCCTTCCAGTGAGTGGGAAGGCCCATCTCAGTGTCCCCACCTCAGGTCCCTTCACTGGGGAAGGGCCTGAAGCCAAGCAAGAAGGGCACATTAGGCCCCCTTACCTCCGGAAGCTGCCAGTCAGTGTGATGGTGGCCCCGGGCAGGGCCTGCACCACAGCCACCTCCACTACTTGCTGCAGGGCCTCCACATCGGGCAGCTGGATTGGGGTGCTCAGGTCTCGGTAGTGCTGGAGACCTGTGGGCAGTGCCGGCTCTCCTGACTCGCCTGGCCTGCCCCTCACCAGCACAAGGAGGTCACCAGGGGCCCATGGCTGAAGGACAGGGAGAGGCCTCCGAGGAGCGAGAGGCTGGAGCATGGAGCGGAATGGCATCCCAGTCTAAGCACAACACTATCCCATCTGCCCTTTCAAATGCTAAACTTTTTTTTTGTCTTTTTCGTGACCGGTAAGGGGATTGCAACCCCTGGCCTGGTATCGCCCCCACCGCCCCCAGCCAGTGAGCGCACCGGCCAGTCCCATATAGGATCCGAACCCGCGGCGGGAGCGTCGCTATGCTCCCAGCGCCGCACTCTCCCGAGTGCGCCACAGGGTCGGCCCCAAATGCTAAACTTTTGAGATGATTGTAGATTCATATACAGTTGAAAGAAGAGAGATCCCCATGTGCCCTCTACCCAGCTCTCTGCAAAGGTAACATCTTACAAAATGACACTACAGCCAAATATAAGGACAGTGATGCTGACATGGTAAGAACAGACCGCCCCTTCTGATGCCTCAGTTTTCCCATCTATAAATGGGACCAGGCAGCGGTGAGATGTGAAGATGGCTCTGCCATGAGGACACCTCGCTTTAGCCTACTTCTGTCTCCTCGCTTCTCAAGAGGCGCCCTGCATGCTCACATGCAGCTAAGGGCGGGTTCAATGGGAGGAACAGCAGCGCCCGGCAGAGTGAGCTCATGCAAACGCTGCCGGCCGTCCCTGCCAGCCCTGGTCATGGGGCAAGGCCATGGCAGGGAGCCAGTGCTGCGGGTCTCAGGCAGAAGCCCAGGGAAAGAGGCAGTGAGCCAGCAGTGCCTGCTGGGCTGGGGGGCTCCTTCAGCCAAGCCCTCAACTTAGGGGAGGTCGCAGACAGTACGGCTGCAGTGGCCAGGCAGGCCACATGGAGGGAACAGAGCACCTGCTGGGCACCTGCCAGAGGAGCTCACGGAACTCCACGCTGCCATCCCTTCTCCACTCTACAGTAAACGTAACTGAGGCTCAGACAGGTTAAGTCTCAGGGCCAGGGTCACCTACATGGTGAATGCCAGACAGCACCCAAACAAGCTCTAAAGAGGGCCGGCCCGTGGGAGAGTGCAGTGCTGATAACACCAAGGCCATGGGTTCGGATCCTATATAGGGATAGCCAGTTAGCTCACTTGGGAGAGCGTGGTGCTGACAACACCAAGTCAAGGGTTAAGATCCCCTCACCAGTCATCTTTTTAAAAAAAAAAACAAAAAAACAACAAGCTCTAAAGCTCATGTTCTTCCCACTACATGGTGTCACCTCTCCCTGCAGGCCCCCTCCATACAGACCAGTCAATAGGCCGGGGTGGAAGATGTGCTGAAGTCCAGGCTGTCCCTAGTCCTAGGTCAAAGTCTAACCAGGAGACAATGACACAAGGCCCAGAATGTCACAGCAGTTGCTGTGACCATCACTGGTCACTGAGGCAGGGCTGCAATAGATCTTGACTCCACTGGGTAGAGGCCCTAGGAGCCCACCAAACAAGGATGGCTGGCCTGCCACCCAGCCCCCTTTGCACCACCCCTGTTCCCTGTCATCCAGGGAACCAGCATGTTCTGTGTGTCAATGCTGAGGGTTGCAGGGTGAAGGAAATTTTCAGATCCAGGGGCTTTAGGGAAGCCCAGGGCCCAGGCCTCTCTAGAAGGCTCACCTGCTCTCTGCTGCTTGGTCAGTCTCTGGGGCTGTCCTCGGAGGTCATCCAGGGTTCGCAGCCCTTCCTGGTACCACCGGTCAGCAGTCCTCACGCCAACCCCAAAGATCTGGGTGAAGAGCTGTGCAGAGGAAAAAACACAGCGCAGTCAGGAGCAAAGCTCTCATGGCAAGATGCAGATGAGGACGTGGCTCTGGGTAGGGGGTGTCATGGCTGGACGTGGCAGCGCTGCCTCATAAAGTCATCGTGCACCTAGGAGGTGCCACCCCCCTTGCATTTTGCGAACTTAAGCAACCTGCCTGAGGCCACACACGAGGATGCAAACTTGGAGCAGTGCCTACCCACCCCCCTCACAGGGGCTGAAGCCACACATGCCTTGCTGCAGCCCCAGGAGCCGCAGCGTGCCCAGAGCTGGACTTGGGGGCTCTGCGGCCGCTCGCCACTTGCCAAAAGACCCTGGGGAGCTACCTGCCCTCTCCTCTATAAAAGGTCTCTCCCCAGAACTTATACAGTTCTAGCCTGTGGTTCCAACACAGCCAAAATAGTCCCCCTGACAAACCAGCACGATGGGCTCTTAATTCACTAGGAAAGCCAGGTCACTCCCACCCAACAGCAGCTGGAACTTATTTCTGTGGTTCTCCTTAAACAGCAGTAAGGAGCTAACAAACGAGAGGGTGGTTTTGGCAGAAGAACTGGGGGCACTGGCTGAGGCCCGCTCTCACATGCATTTCCCCCACACAGGGTGTGCCCCAGCCAAGCTTGTCACCTGCCCTAGGCTGGCCACTTAGTCCCTCCCCAGGAACTTTGGCACTGAGACTGAGGTCAGGCCAGTGCAGGGGTGGAGGCACCCGAGGGCTATCAGAGGCACCTTGTGGCCTTATATCCTGCCGGCAGAGGAAGCGGATGCATGGCAAGAGATGATGAAGCCACCGAAGCTGCTGGCAGACAGGCAGGGAAGAGGGAGGGCGGCCTGGTGGACTCAAGCCACCTGGCCCAGGTCCCCTCTGTTCGGGATTGGCCCATCCTCTCTTTGATTCTCTGAACCAAGAGTATTAGGTGGGTCCCTGTCACTTGTAACCATGAGAATCCCAACTAAAAAATACTGAGATTCGGGCCGGCCCAGTGGCGCACTGGATAGTGCGCCGCTTAGGAGGCGCAGCAGCGCTGCCGCCCGAGGGTTCGGATCCCACATACAGACCGGCTCCTGCTCACTGGCTGAGCGAGGCGTGGGAGCAACACCGAGGTTTGCAATCCCGTTGCCGGTCCCTGGTCCGGTACGGGGGCAACACTGAGGGTTGCGATCCATTGCCGGACACGGAAAAAAAAAGACAAAAAAAAAAATACTGAGATTAACCCAATTATATTGCTTTTTAAAAACCAACTTCTGGGGGCCGGCCCGGTGGCGCACTGCGCTAGTGCGCCGCTTGGGAAGCGTGGCTGCACTCCCACCGAGGGTTCGGATCCCACATACAGACCGGTTCCCGCTCACTGGCTGAGCGACGCGCGGGGGCAACACCGAGGGTTGCGATCCCGTTGCCAGTCCCGGTCCGGTACGGGGGCGACACTGAGGGTTGCGATCCGTTGCCGGTCACGAAAAAAGACAAAAAAAAACCAACTTCTACTTACTAATTTTCTGCCACCCTGGATGCCTTCTTGGACTTTGGGGTACCCAGGAGTTAGGGCAAGGTGGAGGGAGATGTCTCTCAGCACCTCTCCCTCCTCTGCCCAGGAAACCCTTGGTGGGGCTGACACCACTCACTAAACTCCTCAACTTCAAGGTCATTTCATCCCCATCCCTGCGTCTGTTCATCCAGTATGGCCTTCCCACCTCCCCAAGGCCCCTCGCCCCACACTTACAGCAGTGGTCCTGCTCATCTGGCCCCCCTGTCCCCACCAATGTCCCTTGCCCCGTTCTCTACCTGTTTGAGCCCAGCTGTCCCTCACGCATCAGTCAAGTCTCCCTCTTGGAAGCCCTCCCTGCCAATCCTGACAACGTTCTGTGCAACCTCCTGCAGCACCAGTGGCCCACCCTCCCACTGCTCTGACAAGCTCCAGCTACAAAACCAGGTGGCAGAAAGGGTGTCAGTGCAGGTACAACCAAGGCATCCAGAAGAGCTTGGATGGCATTTCCCTAGCAGACAGAGGGAAGTTGCGCTGTGGAGACAGGCATGCCGACAACACCAGGAAACTCACACACAGGATCATCAAGATGAGATAGTGCAGGTGTAAGCAGCTCACAGTGTCCCCGTGATAGCCAAGAAAAGGCCACGTTTTGTTCAGTGACCTCTAAGGTGCCACAACAGGCAATATACTTGAGAATATTCCATCAAAAACAGTCCAATAAGAACAGATGGTGCTGAGTAATCTAGAAAATTCCCTGTGCTCAAAACAAGACTCTCCCCTGCCTGTCTCCACTTGGCAGCCTTATACATATCAGGTATCAGCTTAGCTGCCACTTCCTTGGCAAGACATTCTCTGACGAATGGATGGGGTCAGCCGCCCCCACTAGCTTCCCTTTACAAGGTGAGGACTATGCTGTTCTTCCCAGCAGAGGGCTGAGGGGCTGTGTGCACCTGCTGGGGTCCCACCCCCACCCCTCTGCGCACCTTCATGGTCTGGTACCTCTCTGAACGCCGGACTCTCTCCACCTCCTCACACACTCCATGTTCCAGCAGCTCCTGGGTGGGAGACAAACAAGACTCTAAGCCTGAGGGGCCACAGAGAGAGGGGGCAGGGAGTCAGGGTCAGCATCCTGCAGAGAGGGGCTCTGTCCTGGCAGGGTCTGGTAGGACTTGGAAATGAAGACTGTATCCAGGGAGGTGACCCAAGCGCTGCCACACAACTGGGGGGTGGTAGCTACAGCCTCAGAGCCCCTCGGGGTCTGTAGTTACAACAGCTGGGTGCTGGGAAACATGGATCATCTCTCAGACGAACATCAAGCCCCAGGATATACAAACATTTGCTTTTCAAAACGTGAGTGTATTCATACGGCCTCATTTAAAAGCATCTTTTGGCACTACGTATTCTCACAATAAAAGTGCACAGAAGGACAACGCAATACGTCAGGTGACCAATTACTTTGTATTTTCAAAAGAGATGCTCGTACTCAGAGGGCTCTCTTCCACCGTCCAGGGTGGTTTGGGACTGATGATGATAATGCCAGCCCGCAGCCCTGCCATGGCCCTTGCAGCTCCCTTCACTGAATCTTCAGTGACCTGGGGTAGGCGGGTGATTTACACAGGAGGAATCCGAGTGCAGAAGGTAGCTTGCTGGGGCCTTGTAGCAGCATCTGCACCCACGTCCGTCTGTCCCTCTAAGCTGGCCTCTGATCACCAGGCCCCTGCTGTCTTACCAGGCCTAAGGTCTCCCCACCCCACCCTGCTCAGTATGGTGAACACCTACCTGGACAACCCTGGAAGAGTGTTCTCCAAAATGGGGCAGTCCCTGCAGCTGGCTCAGGGCTGTAACAGGGCCAGGAAGGGCCCTGAGCACAGAGGCTGCTCTGCGGAAGGAAAGGAGGCGGCACTCGCTGCCTTCAAAGGCCGCTGCCTCTGCCAGTGTCTCCAGAGCCTCCTGCGGGGAAGGGCCCTGGTAAGGGGCCAGGTGGGCCGGGCACTTGGCCCCAATCTGCCGGCTGCCACCCCCATCCTCCTGTCCCCAGGGCTGGGACCATGCTCACAGCAGTGGCTCACCGAGAAGCTGGTATTGTGGTGTGCAAGGGGCGCGGGGCGCTGGCAGGCATAGGGCAGCATCCATGCAGGGCTTGGAGGCCCCTTCGTGGGCTCAGCAACCTTGGGATGGGCAATGACAGATCAATGTGAGGCTGCAGGGCTGGCACGAGAGCCAGGTGGCACCGGAGCCTTGCCTCTCCTGGGGCGTTCACCTCTGCACCTCACAGAACAGAGGTGGCCAACTCTGATCAGGAGCAGAAGGAGGCACTACCCTGCAGGACAGTCTGAGGATGGGACTCTTCAGGCCAGAGCAGCAGGAGTTAACACTGGCTGCCTTATGGAGCACTCTTCTCACAGCTGCATATGCTGCGTGGACTCCATCTCCCCAGATCCTCACAATCAAGTGGGCTAGGGATGCTCAGGCCTGAGGGGTTGGGGCCTTGCCCCACGCCTCATGGCTCCCAGGCAGAACCAGAACTCTAATGTAGGCAGCATGGCTCCTGAGCTCACGTGTGTGTCCCCACTGGGTAGACAGAGGCCATGAACCCTACAGCATCCTGAGGATGGGTCCTGCTGACCCGTGGGTCATGTTACTTGGTTTCACAGTACCGGCTACTTGGTGAGGAAGAAGGGCCTACAATGCCTAAAATAAGTGGACCCCTAGAGAACCTGCACCAGTGGTAAGAACAGAAACTGGGATGGCCTTGCCCACCCCCTCCCTACTGTGGCCCCTCTACTGGCTTCTCAGGGCCCTCTGGTGGTCTGGGCAGAGCCCTCACTGCCTACCTCCTCTGAAGGACACTGAAGCACTGCTGCCATGTCACCTGTCCCAGCTGAGTTACAGCCTGTACTAGGGCTTTCTCCAACACTAATCCTCTCCCGCTCACCTCCAGGCGGTGCCGGTGCTCCACCGGGACAGGCTGCCCAGCTGCCATGCTCTCAGTGAACCAGCTTACATCCAGCAGAGCCGGGTGGGTGCAGCCCGGGGGAGCAGCCATCAAGCTGCGCTCCTGCCAGCGTGCAGCCTCCTCCGCCGAGGTGTGCTCCATCACCACGTGTGTCACCTCAGAGCTGGGCAGAGGGAGGAGGCGAGGTGAGACCCTGAGCCCTGTCTGGCTCCACACCTCCAAGCCTCTGCTATTGGTGTCCCCTGCACGGTGAGTGTCCATTTGTTCTTCAAATGTCAGATCCTCCAGAAAGCCTTCCTAGCCCCTCCCACAGGGGAGGAACACCTCCACCCCCAAGCACCCTCAGGACTGTGGCTCTTTCCCTGAGCTGTGCTCATGAGCCCAGCTGGCTCTGTGTTAACCTGTCTCCCTGTCCATCTCAGATAAAGGAGTTCCTGAAAGGCAGGGGTAGACAGGCTTTGTCTAAGTGCTGGGTTTAAGCACAGATGCTCAAGCCTGACTGCTTGGGTCTGAACCCCAGCTCTGCCATATACTTGCTGCATGATTTGGGGAAGGAAAGTATCTATATACTTTGATTTCCTCCTCTACCTACCTTGGAGGATAAAAATAGACAATGTTGTTGTAAAAACAGACAGTGCCCCCACACTCTAAACTGCTATGATCATCCTCTCCTGGGAGGTCCTGGCACACTACCAACCACTGGTGATATTTAATTAGGTACATAAAAAAAAAAAAAAAAGCAGGGGAAGACACTGGCTCTCCCAAACTCAACCCTATGGGAACCCCCTGCTCTCTTACTCTAGGCAGCGTCTCTGTATGGGCAAGTTTTGCTCCTCTTGGTTCCCTCCCTATGGGAGAGCCCAAGTCAAGTTACTTCCTCAGGCATAAGGACAGGGGAGCCCACAGGGTCTGAGCCTCCTGAGAAGTCAGTCTGGCTCACAGGGCGACAGGGAACTGACCCAAGGCAGAAGGTCACTTTGTAAAAACTCCTACAACCCCTGTATGGCTCTTTAAAAGCCTCTGGCAGGGCCGGCCCGTGACTCACTCGGGAGAGTGCGGTGCTGATAACACCAAGGCCATGGGTTCGGATACCTATATAGGGATGGCCGGTTGGCTCACTCGGCAGAGCGTAGTGCTGACAACACCAAGTCAAGGATTAAGATCTCCTTACCGGTCATCTTTAAAAAGAAAAAAAACCCAACAACCTCTGGCTTTGATTCTCACAGTGATCCTGTAGAGCACTCCCTGCCCTAATTAATAGCACTCTTTACAGAAAACGAAACGGAGGGCCAAGGAGAGGTCACACAACCATGAGGTGGCAGAACTAACTTGGAGTCCAACGTGCAGGTGCCGCTGCCCCGTGGGAGGCGCGCCAGTTATCCCACCTGCAGCACCAGGGGGCCTCGCCGGCATGCGAAATAAGGTGGCCGGCCTCCTCCACCGTCCCCGCGAAGCTGCCTCTGCGGCCCCACCCTGAACACTGGCCTGCCGTGCCGGGCCGCGCACCTGCAGGCGTCGAGGATGCGGAAGCCTTTGGATCGTCCCAGGCGTGTGAGGAAGGCCCGGCGGCTGCGGCCCATGCGCGGCTCCGCCAGGTAGATGGCTACGCCGGGGAAGCGCGCCAACGAGGGCGCTAAGGAGATGGCACCGCCGTCCGGGGACCCGGCCCGCGCTAGCCGCCGTTTCGGGAGCATCGGGGCCACGGCGCGGGTAACGCCGGCAGAAGCCGAAGGAAGGCGGGCAGAAATCGGAAGGAAGGCGAGCGGGAGCCGGAAGGAAGCCAGATGGAAGAGGAAGTGGCGCGCGGGCTCCAAGCCAGGCCCCACCCTATGCAAATGAGCCTCTCATTGGGACTCGCCCCTAGGGCCGTGGGCGCGCCGCTGCGGTCCCGGGCTCTGCCCCGCCTCTATGCAAATAGAACTGGAGGACACGCCTTCTATTTAAATCACTTGGGCGGAAACGGGCCTTAGGGCTCCTCGGGCCGCGGAGGGTGGAGGGGAGGTGGGGGGGGCTTGTCCTCGGCCGGGAGGTCGCCCGCCGGCCCTGTCTGCTCCTCCTGCGCCCGGGGCTGGTTCAGGGAACGCAGAGAGGGGCGCCGACCGGTCCGCGGAGCGCGGCAGACACGCGAGTTTCGAATGCGCGGGTGTAGCGGCCGCTGCAAACACACTGGGAAGGTTTTCCAGTCGAGTGGCGTTGTGACAACTGGCCGGCCACTTGGAAAAATAGAAGTTGGCGCCCTCCCTCAGCCCTTAACACCAAGATAAATTCCAGATGGATCGGGCATTTAAATCTAAAAAAGAAATGAAAAACATACTGGAAAAAAGTCGATGAATGTTTTTATGATTCAGATATCTCAATAAACTTGGATACGCTAAAGGAAAAAAATGATAAACTGGACTTCGCACAAATTTAAAATCTGTTTAAAAATTAAAATCAAAAGACAAACCGGGGGGGCCGAGCCCGTGGTGCACTCGGGAGAGTGCGGCACTGGGAGCGCAGCGACGCTCCCGCCGTGGGTTCGGATCCTATATAGGAATGACCGGTGCGCTCACTGGCTGAGCGCGGTGCGGCGGGTCTCAAAAAGGACAAAAAAAGAAAGACAAACCGTGAAAAAGTGTGACATATGTTGAAATTAAGGCTAATTCTCATAAATACAAAATTGTCTGTAGGTAAATAAGCACAGTGATCTAAGGGAAAACTGGCAAAAAAAAACACAAGTAGGTCATTCTCAGAAGGAATCCTAGTCCGGCAATGTATGACTGGAGGGCCCAGGTTATACAGTCATCAGAGAAGCACAAATTTAAATGAGAATATCTGCACCTGTCAGATTACCAGACATTTAAATAATTGCTTGTACATGTTGACAGTGTGAGAGAATTGGACGTTTGCAGGAGGGACTTTTTGGAAGCGAATCTGGCAACCGTATCCAACGAAATGAAAACAAAATCGCATACGTTGACCCAGCAATTCCTTTTCCAAGACTGGGGCTGCATTGAATCTATCGATCAAGTTGGGAAGACCTATTCTATTTGATGTACTACATTTGAATCTCTGTTAGAGCAGCGTAGCCCTGCTCAGACTAGCCTGGCACAGGCTGGGTCATGTAACGCCTTTTCCCATCCTCTCCTCGTTACTGCTCCATCCTCTTAGCCCTGTTCAATCTTGAGCTCCAGACTCCTGCGGCCCTGTACACCAGCCTATCCTCCAGCCCTTTACCAACCTCTTCGGTGAGCTCAGGGCACAGGCTGAGGGGAAGGAGGCAGGTGGCTCAGCCCAGGTATCTTCTTGACCACCCACCACCACCTCCCAGCCTCCCAACTACCTGTCCTCCCCTCTAGGCCTTTAGAGTTTCCTGGACCTTGGGACCCACACACTGCAGCGAGGAGGCCTGGGGTGTGACCCCTGTCTCCCCACCCTCTCCTCACACCAGCAGAGACGGGAGACTCCTAAGGTCAGAGCCTATGTTCTCCACCTGTGGGTCTGCTCCCGCCCTCCTCAGGGAGTAGTTCTACCCAAATGTCCCCAGAGCTGGTCCCTCCAGCTGTCTATCCAGTAAAACCATTTCTTTTCCTCTTAATGTCCCCTGTCTTCTGCCAGGGCACCTGGACTCCCCTCCGAGTCCTTGTTCTCTCCTGGGGAGGCAGAGGCTGTTTTTAAAACTTAAAACATTGAGGGGGCCAGCCCGGTGGCGCACTGGATAAGTGTGCCGCTTGGGAAGCGCGGCGGTGCTCCCGCCCGAGGGTTCGGATCCCACATACAGACCGGTTCCCGCTCACTGGCTGAGCGAGGCGCGGGAGCAACACCAAGGGTTGCGATCCCGTTGCCGGTCCCCGGTCCGGTACGGGGGCAACACTGAGGGTTGCGATCCGTTGCCGGACACGGAAAAAGACAAAAAGACAAAAAAAAAAAAAACTTAAAACATTGAACAACTGTGCAAAAATGTTTGCGCAAGGAATTTCATCCAAGTGACACTGGAAGAAATCGGCCAGGCCCTCTGAGTGGTTGCTGCAAACCACATGGGGCCCAGGAAGTCAGCATGAAGCCTGGCCAGAGGGGATGTGAGAGAGAGAAACTTGCCTGGTCAGCAGGACGAGGTGTGCCCTATATGCTGGGGAGAGGTGGCCTGCCATAGCGGGGAGTGTGGCAGTTGGGAACACGTTCTGCTCATGAGTTGACCTTTTGTCTCCAAGATGGAGCATTTGCTCTGGGTTGCCGAGTGTGATGTGTGTGGTGTGTGTATGTCTGAGAGAGACAGCCCAGGATGTGTTACTGGAGAAAGAGCAGAATAAAGGGCTGGGTCTGCCACTCTCAGGGGATCTGGCCGGTTAGCTCGGTTGGTTAGAGCACTGTGTTATAACACCAAGGTCAAGAGTTTGGATTCCCATAGGAGACAGCTGCCAAAAACAAATGATTTTGTAGAGTTTTACTAATACTACTAAAAACTGTAAACACCCCACATGTTCTTCAGCTGGGGGCTGGCTTTACACACCGGTGCATCCCCTCCGTGGAGCACTAAGTGGCACCAAGATGCAAGGAACTGGCGCTATGACAGCTTGCGTGAGTCTTCAATGCAGTAAGCTGTGTAGTGGAAGCTACATATGTTAGGATCCCATTTATATGACAATTTGGAAATGGCAGAACGGTAGGACAGAAAACAGACCAGTGATTGGCAGGGGCTGTGGGTCGGAGCAGGGGTTGACTGCACAAGGCCAAGAAGGAATTTGGGGGAGATGGAATGTTCTCTCTCTTGACTGTGGTGGGCGTTACAGGACTGTGATTGTCAAACTCATAGAACTATGCACTAAAAGGGGTGAATTTTATGATTATGATAACTATACCTCAATAATCCTGACTTTTAAAACCACTGCTGTACAACCATATTCACTGGCACCAAAAGATGCCCTTGAGATACGACCTGATACCATTATGTGATGAAAGCAGAGAGCTGTGTGTGTAATGTGAGGCTGGTTCTGTAAAAACATGTTTTTTATATGCAATATACATGGAAAATATAGTGACGACATGGCTAAGAAAATATTTGCAGTGGTTAGTGGGACTGTGAGTGATTTAAAAAATTTTCATTTTGTTTGTACTTTCTAAAATATCCACAAAGGGCATGAATTACTTGAAAGGAAGGAAGGGAAAATAAGTTTCCATCCTCATTTTGTGGACATCTGAGCAGCACAGCCGAGATGCACACACGGTCTCCTGGCTCTGAGGCCAGCATTGTCTCTGGAGTTGTACAAGATCCCTCTGCCTGCTCCATGTCCTCCCCAGGACACAGGCCCAGGGAGGTTTTGAGAGAGGGGAGGGTGAAGGCCAGCCTGGGCAGCAGCGGACAGGGCCAAGTGTGGGTGGGTGGGTGGGGTGCTCCTTTCCTCCCTTCACTGGATCCCCCGGCCACTGTCACTCATACTGGGAAGCAGAGACCTCAGCCTCTGCTTTGACTGGGCTGTTCCAGTAAACTTGGCTCAGGGGTTCCCAAACATCCAAGTCCCCAGCCTCCTGCTCCCCTCTGAAACCAAATGGTCAGGGAGGCTGCACAAACATCCTCCTAGCTGAACCCCTTCATGCCCGGCTAGCTCCATCAGCTGCCCTGAGGGTTCCAGTCCCCTCCCCTGCTCCTGAGCCATGGCACTTCCTGCTTATATCCTACTTATGCTTTGTATTATTCCTTCCCAGATGTATGAGTTGCATTTTTCCAAGATGAATCTGACCCTCACAAAACCTCCCTGTGGAGCGCCTCCCTTGAAGTTCACTTTGGTGCTGTGGGCACCTGTGCTCAGCTGGCCCACAGGCCTGCAGGGCCAGGACTCTGCCCTGGCTCCAGGGCCCGCCCTCCAGTCTTGGTTGCCTCCCCCCTGCAGGCCGCTTGCCAGCAGTATCCGGGACAGCATGCAGCCAAACTGCTGATGCAGCTGGACTGAGGGCTGCTGGCCCAGTTGTGCTGGCCCTGGGCTTTCTCTGACCTACTTTACCACATTGCAGGGTAACCTGGTGTATTCGTATTTGTGACTGCTGTAACAAATGATCACCAACTGGGCGGCTTAAAACAACAGATATGTACTCTCTCCCAGTTTCAGAGGCCAGAAGTTCAAAGTCCAGGTGTCAGCAAGGCTTCACCCCTTCAAGTCTCTAGGGGGAGGCTTCCTTGCCCCTTCCAGCTTCTGGTAGATCCTGCATTCCTTGGCTTGTGCCAGCCTTTCTCTCATCTCTGCCCCTGCGTACAATGGCCACCTTCCCTCTGGGTCTCCTCTGTGTTTGTGTATCTTCCCCTTTTCTTATAAAGGCACTGGTCATTGGATTTAGGCCCACCCTAAATCAGGACCATCTCATCTCAAGAGTCTTATCTTAATAACATCTGCAAAGACCCCTATGCCAAATAAGGTCACATTCTGAAGTTTTGACAAGACATGACTTTGGGGGGCCACCATTCAACCCACTGATCTATCATGGTCTAGCTTTGTCCTGGGCTCACCTCTGGACCCTATGACCCAGGGCAAGTGGCCAGCCTGCCTTGTCTGTGCAGATCCACAGAGACGCAGGATTTGGGTTTTGACAATAGATTGGGGGCTATAACTGACCCAGGGCCTGGTTGGTTATGTAACAGAAAGAGACGCTTTATTTTTGAGAAACCATTACTGCTTTTCAAGGAGGGTGTGCATCTCTGCTTGCTGGACAGGTTCCATATAAG